TGGAATATCTCCATCAGTTCACAAGTGAAGACGAGCATCTAATCATCAGGAAGAGCTGAAATCTGCAAAGACTGAGTTTATTAAAGAGGACAGAGAGAAGATGAGAGATCCAGAACCCTGCAGAATCAAACACACTGAAGATACTGAAGAACTAACAGGTTGGTGTCTATTATTCATTAATAATGCTGATGATTATAAAGCTTCAGGCAGCTTTATATTTTGGTTTGCTGTAACAAGAAAAATATTTAGAGCTGTTGAATAATTTTTGCTGAAGCATCAAATAATTATGGACACTTCCTATGAACTAAGTACTTTTTTTTTTAACAAAATTTATGTTAGATTGAGTCTCCAAGCCAGATAGTTGAGATCCAGTCCCGGATGCCTGTCAGAAAATATCCATTTTGTCTGGAGTCTGAACAAATAGTCAGCAGGGTTGTCGATACCCAAAACCTATTAACATCAAGTCTAAACTATATTAACAATCTTCTATCAACCAAGAAGATGATTGAGCAAAGCCAGAGAAGAGCAGAAGCAGGAGAGAAAGTGATGATAAAAAGGTTTTGAAAAAACCCCTCAAAAATCTAAGTTTATTGAATCTTATGTTTCAGTGCTCAGACTTCATCTGACGAACACAAATCCAACAAGTAGTGTTTTACCAAACACAACAGCATCCCATAAACCTTGAGTTTCCATAAACATTCTCTCTTATCTCTTATTCATACAGACATAAGTTAATGAACCCTTACAATCATCATATTAAACAATGAAAATACATAAGCAAGGAAAATAATAAGAAAATATAAAAAAATGAATGAATAAATTATCAAATAATAAAATGATTTAAATGGTAAATGTTAATGTATTGTTTGATTTAAAAAAATCTAACAATAAATTACATAAATGGCTCATGATTATAAACGAGTAAATGCATAAATTATTATGAATTAATAAAAACAAGAAAATAAAAAGATAACAAATGTATGGTCGCTCTCTTGATGCAACACACAGTTTGTATTTGAGGATCCTCACATCCTTCATGTTGTTGAACAAATATTAAATAGTTCTCCCTGTAAAACATGAGATTTGTGCCTATAATATGTTTTAAATAATTTATAGATCAATGTACCTCATCCATGGAAAGTTTCAGGGAAGTATAATTTATAAAATTACATTAAAATGATCAAAATTGTGTAATGCAATTGTCTACTTTCTGCTGTTCATTTTCATGTCCTTTCACTTTTCTGCTTTTTTTACAGTTAATAAATTTACTGTTTTTACTTTTGTTGCAGAGTTGATTGTAGATAATGAGGAGAAAGAAGAATTGAGTGAATTTGAGGAGAAAAATCATGTCAAAAGTGGAGAAAAACCAAAACAGAAAGATTTAAAGAAAAGAAGAGCCAAGAAATCTTTCACATGCACTCAGTGTGGAAAGAGTTTGACAAGCAAATATTATCTTGATGTTCACATGAGAGTTCATACTGGAGAGAAACCGTACATTTGTGATCAATGCGGGAAGAGTTTCTCACGATCATCAAACCTTAAGATTCACATGAATATCCACACTAGAGAGAAACCTTACACATGCGATCAATGCGGGAAAACATTTTTGTGGGCTTCATACCTGAGCAGACACCTGAGAGTTCATACAAAGGAGAAACCACATTCATGTCATTTGTGTGGAAAGAGTTTTTCATTTCTACAAAATTTAAAAGTACATCAGAAAATACATACTGCTGTGAGAGAGTACATGTGCTTTGAGTGTGAAAAGACTTTTACTACAGCAAACAGTTTAAAACTGCATGAGAGGATCCACACTGGAGATAAACTTTACAAGTGTTCACACTGTGACAAGAGATTCATTCAGTCAGCACATCTGAAAACACACGAGAGGATCCACACTGGAGAGAAACCGTAGATCATCTTCAGATCCAGCACTTTCAGATCTGATGCTGTGTCCTCAACAAATGCAACACAAAAATGAATCCAGCAATAAAATATCGTCTGGATAAATCTGTCCTAACCAGACATTACAAGTGACATGACAAAGAAACATTATCTAAAGTTTTCACAGTGAATAAAGTTCATCTTCATCTTCAAAACCAGCAGATTCGACTGTGAGATTCAGATCAACTCAAAGATGGAGTTCCTACCCAAAGAACAATGTCACAAAGTTATATCCTTGTTTATCATTTTGCTTGATGATATAAATAATATAATTTTACTTACTTCTGGGTTTCATATTATGTTCAGTTGTTTCATATTATGTTCAATATGTTTAATAAGCAGGATTGTAAGAATAGTAATACCATTAAAACCTTACTGATACCTATTATTACTTGTAAGTAGAGAGAGGTCCATCTCATTAGTTTTCACTTTTACTTAGCTCATTTTTGTATTTGCTCTGAGCAATAATTGATTAAATGTTCCCCTTTTTATTAATACATTATCTTTACTTTTAATATTTTATCAACAACTTTTATTGTCTGCTGATTGTATTTGAATCAGGAAAAAGTAATTGTATAATTTCAGTTTTAATATGTAAATGCTATGAAGGATTATTTTTTGTTATTATTTTTTAATAACATAGGGGTTGTCTACATTAGCAGCCCTTCTTCTTCTAGTGGTGGGCGGATCAATCCTAATATCGATAGTATCGATACCAGCTTTGGCAGAGGCGGACAAAGTACACAACTTCATTACTTGAGTGAAGTACAGATAACTACTGGTCAAATACTACACTACAAGTGAAAGTTGTAAAGACAGATTTTTACTTAAGAAAAAGTACGAAAGTATATGCTTTTAAAAGTACTTAAGAAATTAAAATCTGGAAAAGCGGCAGGTCCCGACGGCTATCCGGCCGAGTTTTACAAGAGGTTTTCTGCCAAGCTAGCACCTCTGTTGTGTAAGGTATTTGAGGAGGCCCGTGTTTCAAACTCTCTCCCCCTATCCATGACAAAGTCTGTCATATCGGTCCTTCTTAAAAAGGATACATTACTTGAGTGAAGTACAGATAACTACTGGTCAAATACTACTCCACTATAAGTGAAAGTTGTAAAGACATGTTTTTACTTAAGAAAAAGTATGAAAGTACATGCTTTTAAAAGTACTAAAGAAATTAAAATCTGGAAAAGCAGCAGGTCCCGACGGCTATCCGACCGAGTTTTACAAGAGGTTTTCTGCCAAGCTAGCACCTCTGTTGTGTAAGGTATCTGAGGAGGCCCGTGTTTCAAACTCTCTCCCCCATCCATGACAAAACCTGTCATATCGGTCCTTCTTAAAAAGGATAAGGGTCCGCTTAAGTGTGAATCTTATCATCCGATCAGTTTACTTTGCTGTGACTATAAGATCCTGGCTAAAGTGCTGGCAATCAGAATTGAACCAGTCATGAGAAAGGTAATTCACCCAGATCAAACTGGTTTTATTGCTGGGAGGCAGTTATCTTACAATCTTCGTCGCTTATTTAATGTTATCTACTCACCCAAAAACAATATTAATCCAGAAATCTTAATATCTTTAAATGCTCACAAAGCATTTGATAAAACTGAATATGTTTATTTACTCGCAACACTTAGAAGGTTCGGCTTCGGCCCCGTATTCTGTTCTTGGATCAAAATTCTATATACTAGGCCTCAAGCATCCATTCAAACAAATAATATAATTTCTAAGTGCTTTCCACTTTCTAGGGGGACAAGACAGGGTTGCCCTCTGTCCCCCCTGCTTTTCGATATTGCCATCGAACCTCTCGCAATCTGTTCAATAGTCATTTTAAAACAGCACTGGACAAAGCCAAGTGAGACATGGTGCGGTGGTCAATCCTTCCTTTATCTTTGGCTGGGAAGATCAACTCCATTAAAATGACAATATTACCAAGATTCTTGTTCTTATTTCAGACCGTGCCTGTTTTTATTCCCAAATCATTTTTCAGATATCTGAATAATTGTATTTCCATGTTTCTTTGGGATTAAAAAATTCCTTGCATAAGAAAAGAATATCTGGAAAGAAAGCAGGAAGAGGGTGGATTGGCAATGCCAAATTTTTTATATTACTACTGGGCAGCCAACCTACACAAACTGATATTTTGGCTTTCTGATTTATCGAGTGATGAAGCTCCAATTTGGTTACTGATGAACAGAACATGTGTAATCCAGTATCTCTACGTTCACTGCTCTGTGCTCCAATCCCAGTGAGCAAACACTATTCTACAAATAGCCCAGTTGTCTGTGGATCACTCAGAATATGGTCACAGTAAACAAGCGTTGCCTTCTGCCCCTATTCTGTTGAATCCTTTGTTTCCTCCTCTTATAGATTCAGCATTTCAATTGTGGTCTAGAAACGGAATTAGTTGTGTTAAGGACCTTTTCTCACCCAAAAACAATATTAATCCAGAAATCTTAATATCTTTAGATGCTCACAAAGCATTTGATAGAATTTAATATGTTTATTTACTCGCAACACTGGGAAGGTTTGGCTTTGGCCCCGTATTCTGTTCTTGGATCAAAATTCTATATACTAGGCCTCAAGCATCCATTCAAACAAATAATATAATTTCTAAGTGCTTTCCACTTTCTAGGGGGACAAGACAGGGTTGCCCTCTGTCCCCCCTGCTTTTCGATATTGCCATCGAACCTCTCGCAATCTTGTTAAGGAATACAGATGGCTTGCCCGGAATAGTAAGGGAGGGACACAAGCATAAGCTTCTGCTTTATGCGGACGCTCTCCTCCTCTTCCTATCTAATCCAGATTCCTCTATACCGAAAGCCCTTACAATTATTTCAGATTTTGGAAATGTTTCGGGATACAAAATTAACTTGCAAAGAGTCTTATTTTCCCTATTAATCAAAGAGCACAACAAATGTCTTTCCAATCCTTCCCATTCTCAGTAAGCTATGATACATTTCTCTATCTAGGTGTGAGTGTAACACGCAGATATAAGCCAAGCAAGACATGGTGCGGTGGTCAATCCTTCCTTTATCTTTGGCTGGGAAGATCAACTCCATTAAAATGACAATATTATCACGATTCTTGTTCTTATTTCAGACCGTGCCTGTTTTTATTTCCAAATCATTTTTCAAATATCTGAATAGTTGTATTTCCATGTTTTTTTGGGATAAAAAAAAATCCTCGCATAACAAAAGAATATCTGGAAAGAAAGAAGGAAGAGGGTGGATTGGCAATGCCAACATTTTTATATTACTACTGGGCAGCCAACCTACACAAACTGATATTTTGGCTTTCTGATTTATCGAGTGATGAAGCTCCAATTTGGTTACTGATGGAACAGAACATGTCTAATCCAGTATCTCTACGTTCACTGCTCTGTGATCCAATCCCAGTGAGCACACACTATTCTACGAATAGCCCAGTTGTCTGTGGATCACTCAGAATATGGTCACAGTTCAGACTTTACTTCAATAGTAAACAAGCGTTGCCTTCTGCCCCTATTCTCTTGAATCCTTTGTTTCCTCCTCTTATAGATTTAGCATTTCAATTGTGGTCTAGAAACAGAATTAGTTGTGTTAAGGACCTTTTTAAAGACAGCATATTTATTTCATTCCAACAGCTAAGAACGGATTTTGAGATCCCTCAGTCTAATTTTGTAGGTACTTACAGGTCCGTAGCTTCATTAAAAACACTTCTCTCCCTCCTTGAACCAACCTGAAGGGGGCTGGATAGATGAGTTGTTAAATATGGACCCTTTTTGAAGGGGTATGTTGTCTATTCTATATGAGGTTATTCAAAGAACCGCCTCCCCATCTCTAGACAATATAAGGAGGCAATGGGAGGAGGAACTGGGAATAGAAATATCAGATACAGCCTGGCAGTGGGCAATAGAATTGGTACACTCATCTTCTGTATGTATTAGACATGGACTTCTACAATTCAAAGTGCTTCATAGGCTCCATCTGTCTAGGAGCAAGCTGACTAAGATGTATCCAGGGTCAGATTCAGATTACCACATCATGGTTCAGTTTGAATATGGTTTTAAAGTTATTTTTGACTGTTCCTGGTTAGGAAGAGTCTGTTGTTTGAGAGATGTGGTGTGTTTTGATTACAAGAGGTTGGATTATTAATTATCAGCCAACTTCAGCTATGGACAGTTTGGACATTGATGTACAACAGATAAGACTTTCGCACACATCACCTTTCACATGACAAAATCCTACAATCTTACAATGCTTTGTTTGCTTTCCTGGTTTTTTTTTATTTACATTTTTGGCTGTATGTAACTGTATTTACCTGAATTGAATGTTTTCTATTTTGTATTTAATAAATCTATTGATTTGAAATCCCTTTTGACTACTGTACATTTTTGACAATATAGACATTAGTTATGTGGTGACTGCATCCATTTCAGGTGTGTAATAACTGTTTTTCCCAAAATACTTAATTTATAGTAGCTGAAAGTATTTAAAAATGAAACGGATGTATTGTTATAGATCAGGGGTGCATCCTGTTCCTGGAGATCTACCTTCCTACAGATTTCAGTTCCAACCCTGATTAAACAAACCTGTCTGTAATTATCAAGTGCTCCTTCAGATCCTAATTAGTTGGTTCAGTTGTGTTTGATCAGGACCATGTTGGGCACCCCTGTTGTAGATTAGTAGTGTGGGCTAAGTGAGGGCTGCCTGTGCAGGTCCAGCACTAAGGGGCCAACGTTTTGCCAATGAGAAAAATCTCAGAGGTCCTGTGCTGGCAGCCCACTGGGGGCCCTTAGGCTAGCCCTAAGTGGGCCCATAAAGGGCCAGTGCAGGGTTGGGCAACCTGGGGTGTTTACGCAGTTGGTTAGAGCAGTGCTGATTGGGGACAACGAAGGTGCGCTCACTCTATTGGTTAGTAAGACTGCAACTCAAGGTTGGCAGTCATGCATATGCTCTGGAACAGAGTAATATTGCGTCCATA